CTGCTTGCCTAGTCTAAACAAGCTCAGGATAATTAACACTCAGCATGTTACAGGCAACTAATTCCTTGAAAACTAAAGAAATGATTATTAAAAAAAAAAAAGACAGAAAAAGGGACTATGACTTAATAAAGTAGTATAGGAAGAGAGGGGGAAATAAGCTTTAATTTCTATTACTTTTGTGTATGTTACAGAAATAAAAATTACTAGAGCTGGAATTAAAGATTCTCCCATTAATCACAGGTACAGGATGCACAGGAGCAGTGGCAGCTTCTCATTGTCATTAGTGACAGACTCATTTAGGTTGGGAAGAACCTCTTCCCTGCAAAGCTGGGTCAACACTGAATTCACACCACTTTTTTCAGGGCTTTGTCTTGTAAAACCTTAAAGATCTCCAAGCCTGGAAACTCCACAAACTCCAGGGGCAAACTCTTCCAAATCTTAATTATTCTCCTTTATTCTTCCCACCTCCTTGGAATTTCTCCTTTCATTTCATGCCTGATGTGCTTCCCCTGTACACAACCTCGATCACTTACCATGTTGTGTAAGAAGTAGAGGATGTGGTGAAAAATCAGTCCAAATGCTGATTCTGAATTTTGTTCCACCAAGGATATGCTCTGGGAACCTTGTTGTGATACTCCAGATTTTCCCACTATTTGTCTTCAAATCAAAAGCAGGATAGGCATTTCTGATCCTGGAGAAAAACATGTGAAGAAACTACGTCTAAAGATGTGTGCATTTTTGGCCTCTTCTAAGGGCCAAACAAAAAATTCTACAAGATACATTTGGTGATACGTAGAGAGCTGTTAGAAATAAAAGTCTGTGGAGAGAAATGGTAAAAACACAAACTGTGTTTGCATGCATTAGTGAGATAACTACATATCAGCACACATAACTACATCTGTTATTTCAGGGAAACCAGCAGCAAAATCTTCATGAGGTTGAAAGAACCGCTGCTGAGCTTGACCTCAGTGAAACCTAAAGGAGTTTAAACAGAGACTTCAGTGTGCACGGAGCTCAGTAGAAATGATAGTTCTCAAATATGTACTTAAATAACAGAGTTTTAATGCAGAACTAGCCAAGAGCACATGCACAGACAGCTGCAACTAGGACATCTGGTCAAAGTGAGTACAGGAACATGCTTCCTATGCAAAATCTTAAGGAGTGTCTATTTCCACAACTCTCTCCAATCCAATCTGAAATCCTCATCATTAAAACCCTGGGTATTTATGTAAAAGTCTGTAGAGTGCAGTAACAGTTGCAGTCACTGAGTCCCTCTGATATACCATTAACTATAAAATATATTGCCACTTGTCCTTCCAATTACCATAGACGTGCAGAAACTAATTCCTCCTGAGATCCCATTTCCTAATGAACACCGGTCACAGGTTTTACACCTATCATCTGGGACTAAACTTGCTTTTTAAGCAAGTACACTCTGCAGCTGCAGGTAAGGGTACACACTGTACCAGCTGAAGGTTTACATTTCACTAGTTAGCCTGAATAATTAGCAGCTAAACCCAAATATCCTGTACTAAGCATCCTGCATTCTCTTGTGTTTGTTGGTTCATTTTGTAGCTAAGTTGGGAGTGCTTTGTAATGACTCTGGTAAGTGTATTTTGGACCCCAGCTCTCTCACAAGTCTCCATTACTGTGTTACCTCCTGCCTCTGAGCTGCTGCCCAAGTCTTTTAAACAACCATGTGAACTACTCTTTTGTGCTCTGCATTTCTACAGCATGGGAAGAAAAAAAAAAAAAAAAAAAAAGGAAAAAAGGGGGAAAAAAAAGGGGGGGGGGGGGGGGGGGGTTGAAGAAAAGGGGGAAAGAAGTCTAGGCTTCCAAATTTAATAATCCAGCAAAGCAGCCAATTTCTTATCATGAAAGCCAGGGCTTGGCGTTTCAGTGGGGTGGGAGGAAATGAGGCTTGACAAGAGAACCTCCAGTACAAGGCAGATTTATCCTCATGGTTAGAAAGCATTACACTACAGAGGCTGTTTGGGTGACCTATGTAGTTGGTGTCAGTCTATTTTCTTTGTGCACAAGGTACAGCTTTTCCCCTGTAACATGTTTCTGCAAGAAAGCCCAGGACTGAATAAAACTGGAAACTTCACTACCCTCTATCCAGCCTCAAATTACCAGCCTATGTACACACACAGGGCATGAATCACCTCCTCAACTTGCTGGCAGTCATTCCAAAACTAAGCAAACCTCACCTACTTCCCTACCCACACACTGCTAATATTTTAGCAAAATGTGGGGATACAAATTTGCTCTTCAGATAAAAACCCATTCAGTTTCCAAAAGTGTTGCTCATTTATGGCCATCTAGTATTCTCATGTGATTAAAGGGCTTCTGGCCTGAGCAGGTGGGCAAAACACTGCAAAATTTTGAAAGTTTGGGTCTTCCAAAGCAGAACTGAAGTGTTACACAAACATTACACAAACGAACTCTTGTGCAACTTTCTTTCTGTTTTGCCACAACTCAGCGTATGCAGAAAGTACTGACATTTATAGGGATTTGCTATTTCACAGCATTTCATAACGTGATCTGTTTCTCTGCAGTGCAAAGCACATCCTTGAAGACATTGAGAGGTGGAGGAACTCTGCATTTTGCAGCACTGGACTCTGAGATGGCCAGCTTGGCACCTTCTGGTCTGAAAGTGGCTTTAGGATGTGTTCTGAAGCCACCCAGGGATGATTGCTCACTACAGCTCTGCTCATAATCCTAGAAGTCACCTGAGAAAGGATTTTGAAGACTGATTTACAGTCCTTACAACCAAAAGCTTCAATTACAGACTGATACCTGTGCAAGTATCACCTAGAGAAAAACAGAGTGGGTTTCTAGCTGAGCTACAAGCTGGAGCTGCAAGAATGCATCACACAGAGTCTGAATTATGCATCCTGCCTCTGTCAGCACTGAGATTCACTGGGCACTGGGAGGATGCTCATTTGGCAAGACTGAATATGTAAGTCATTTGAAAATTTATGATATTTTTCGGTCTTTTGGTTGTAGTGACATTTTGTCCTTAAAATGTTTCTCTACTTATTTAATAGAAGAAAAACAAAAGCTGTTCTTATTTTCTTTTTAAGAGTGTTTGCTCATGACACACACAAAACAAACTCCTTCAAAACAAGAACCACTTATTCATATTTATCTTTTTAGCCCAGCAAATAAACTCATCTACTCAAAAATCAATATAAAGCTTTTAATATAATTAGAATGTTTAGACATTAAAAAAATCTGAATAGCTGACAGGAAAGCAGTCATGTGGAATGTGCCTTCATGCACCTCATGGCAGAATTGGGTTGGGGTTTGGGATGATGAACTGTGGAAAAGGAAATTGAGACATGTGACTGAGTATGTTTTGAAGCTGACCACCTCATTTGAATATATAATATACTTGTCTTAATTTCAGTGCAACATCAAACTGGTTTTTTGGTTGGGTTGTTTTGGGTTTTCTTCTTTTAAGAGAAGCAGCCTTGCCTGACCTTGAATAAAATCAATTCATTAAAGTCTAATAACAAAATCAGGATTCCATTTTCCAACTACTTTCCAGGAGAGAAAAGCATGCATTTGTGCTAACAACTTGACACTGTGATCAGTGAATATCTACAAAAGAAAAATCAGTCTGCACAGATGGTCTAAATACTTGTAAATTTTTGTGTGCTTGGATTTTAACACAATTCATTTTTCTGCAGAAGATTAAGAAAGTAAAAAATGTTCTATGCCATTAAGTCAGGCTATTAAGTGTAATGGTAAAATATAATTAAAGTAGGTTTTGTCACTTGCTAAGTCTCACTTTTCATCATGACAGTATGTAGCAGTTCTATTCTCAATCAGTTCCTCCAGTTCTTATTTTCCTGCTCAGAGTTGCACAGGCACTAATATTGTCCAAGACAATGACAGAAAAAGGATTGGAAGTTTCACACACTATAAGCCATCAACAGTGAAGAGTTAAATGTACTTATCGCAAATAAAGCAGACAGATTAAATATTTTTGAAATAATGTTCCTTTGTGGTTTTTAATATTTAAACCAAAATTAGAAGTGTTTCCTTATTGAAGCAGGCACTGGAATTGCAGCATTGTTCAGGACTGCAGGGTGTGGCTGGCTGACCTTAGGTGGATGCCAGGTGCCCACCCAGCTTCTCTACCACTCCCTTCCTCTTCAGCCCATGGGGGAGAAAAGATGGGAAAAAGCCCTACTGGATCAAGATAAAGGCAGTTTCACAAAAGCAAAGGCAAAGGACATACATATAATTAAGGGAAGACAAAATATTCTCAACTTCCAATCAGCAGGCAACTTCCAGCCTCTCTTCAGGAAGAAGGGCTTCAGACAAATGCCATAATAACGAACATTGCTCAGCAGTAGCCAAGGCACTGGTGTACTATCCATACCCCAGTCCTGTGAGGGGATAATTACGTCCACCCCAGTCACCCCAGTACACAGGGATAACCAGTCCCATCAATGTAAGTCAGTGAAATGTGATAGTTGGCCAAAAAAAAGGTTTTTCATTACTTACTTCTCCACTGCATTGCAGAAACCAACTGTGTTTTCATTACTTCCTTGATCTGCTTCAATCAGCTGGATAGACCAAGCTGCAGCCTAAAAACACCAACAAGACCCCAGAAGAAACAGAGGTGAGTTATTTAGGTATAAGAAGCAGAAAGACCTTAAGGCTAATCTTGAATTTTGTTCCATGAGAGCCTATCACTCCTCCCCTGACTTGATGGAGTTCCAAATAAACACAAATGACCCCATGTTGACTGCACTCTAAATGCTTTCAAAAGTCACAAAGCATCAGCTGCCCTGGGTAACAAATGTTTTTTCCCCCCATCCAGAACATGAGGAATTTCAGACCAAGCTGTCAGGATTCACCTGGTATCAAGGCACAGATAACTCCAAATGCAGACATTTCATTTACAAAAGGGAGAAGGACTAACTGAAGGTTATGCTCCAGCATATTTTAATCCTTATTTTCTCTCTTTCTGCCCTGGCAGGAAGCTCAGCATCCTTTCAAACTCCATAAACCTCTCAGGTAAGTCCCTAAGACAGATAAGAGGGAACCAGTGGACTCCACTGAATGTGAAAAATCCCCACATACTTTCTGTGACCTTGGAGAGCAGAGGTCTGAGCCACTGCTTTGGGCCAAGCATCCCTTTGTCTGTTTGCCTGAAGTACTCCTCAGCCAGAATATCATCTCCAGAAAAGAACTTAATGCTATTACATCTGCAAGCCTTTCTGCTCTTGTGGGTAGAGACATTACAAGGCTTAACTGTATGAGAGCTTTTAAATCCCCTCAGAAAGAGAACAGGAAACAGAGACAAAAGGTTTATTTTATAATTTAAATAGTGATTTATATTAAAGTGTGGATTTTTTTTTAAAATAACTATTAAACGGAACTTAAGATTCTATTTGGCTGGACAAGAAAGTGCAATATGCATTAAAAGATGCAGGGTGAGAAATCTGAGTTACAGTTTAAAAGATGGGATGATTATAAAAGATGGGAGCTGGCTGGTGGGGAAACCACAACAGCAGAACTGAAAGCTCAAAAGTAAGAAACCTTATGAGGATGCAGTGAGACCCCAAACTGATGGGATGTAGTATTTTCATTACCTACAATACCACACAAAACATCAGGAGAGTGCATATGAAATTTAGAGATACTAAGGGGGCATCATCAATAGAGAGGAAAATTGAAATTGTCTGGTAGGAAAAAAAACAACAATGCATAATCCTGGGGGTGTAAATAAGAGAGTAAAATTAAATTTAGCAATCTGAATTAGTAGTCCATTCCCTGGTTCTAAGTACTGCTGAAAAAGGTCCTTCAAAACCCAGTGAAAATGTAGCACCTTCACTGGTTCATTGTTTCCATTTTAGTTAGGCATCTACTTTTCAGTTCACCTCATGAGACAGTAATAAGAACTTCTGGAGGACATTCATTATTTAGAAATTATGAGTGATGTGGTAACAGCCTCCAAAAATTACCGATTCATTAAAAAACCCCACAAAACAAAGACTCATTTTTCTCCTGCAGCTCAGTCCTTGCAGACCAGGTAGAGTGCCCTGGAAAAAATACATGGGAAAAGAGAAAAAGCCACCAAGTGAAAAGCTAAGAAAATTAGCCCACAGGTAAGAAAAGGTGAGGCTGGCACATGACATTAAATAGGACTGAAGGTATTAAAAGAGCCAAACCACAACTGTGAGCTAAGAAAGGACAAACAGAGAGGAATTGGGTAAGAAGAGGGACAAGACTTGGAATGCATGATTTGCCACAAGGACATGGGCATGAATCCTCAAATCCTCATAGCTTGAAGAAGAGTATCATTAGATAATTACTAAAGGATGGAAAAGAGAAGCCCAAAACTGTAGCCTGGATCCTCCCCTGAAGGACACAGGAGTGACACAGGAGCCCTCTGCTTTTTGCACCTTTGCTGGCAGCATCTCTGAGTAATTCCTGATGGCAAACAAGAAGCCTGTGAGGCAGTAATAGTCTACACATCTGGAAAATACCATTGCTAAGTCACTCAAAGTCATTCTGGTGGCAGAGGTATATAAAGGAGATAAATAGTTCCAGCTCCAGGGATGAGAGATTTAGTTTGGTCATTATCTTCTTTCCACATGTCCAGAAACTTCACTTTCTTCTTCTTGCATATCAAGGTAAAATGTTAATTACATTATTGCACACTATTTTTCAACAGGACTTGAGTCTCCATGCACTGCAAATATGTTAAAGAGAGCAGTGAATGAGATGGAACTCCACATCAGAAGTAATGACAACGGGGATCAAGCAACTGAATGCATCCCTTGATGACTGGAATTTTTTTCATTCATAGGCTTCTCACATCATACTAATCAAGTCACCTAAACCATCCTTCCAAATATGAACAATAATAGTGTATTTCTCATTCCTGGAACACCCAAAACAAAATCATGATGTTTGGTCTGATGATGGGACCTGGGTGAAGATATGAGTCTTGTTAGTTACTCTGAAAACACTAGAATCTAAAATTCGATCCTAAATATCACAGAGTAGCTAAGTATATTAGATACCTTTTAGGTTTTATTTCAATTTTCTTTCTAATATGGAAAAAAATAACATCCTTTTTTCATTGGGATGTTATAAAGATAGTTTCCTTTATTATTTTTGAACATCTGACCTGTAATGAAAAGGACAGAAAAAGTTAATGTTTCCTTTATTACACTGGACACATTTTGATTAGCACACATTAAATAAAGCCTAGGGCTATACAACTGCATCCAAGAGCTATGGATCAGAATACCAGTATAATTTCAGCAGGGTGAATATTTCATTTTGCCTACCTATGACCCATCTCAATTCTAATTTCCATGTCTCAACACCCTTTGTATTTCACTCTGAAGTGTTGGTTCTCCCCCCCTACTATTTGGATTCATTGTTTACTTGCCCTGGATCTCACAAATCTCACAAATCCAACCTGTTCCTATTATTTTGCTGTGGTGTCCTACTTTTCCAACCCTTCTGATTGTCTTAATCAGCATCAGGTCTGTCACCCAGCAGCACTTGTCTTTTCCAAGACTCCCAGCCCAGCAGCAGTAAATGCTTTACAGGCTTTTTTTGCTCCTCCTTCTCTCTAAGAGTTCCTTTCACTCTTATTTTCCCTTATCATCTCAAGGTTCAGCTGCCAGCCCCTTGCCTAGGCTCTCTTTCTGTTCTGACATGGCTTTTTCTCCCTGAAGGAATTTTTGTGACCACAGTGAATTTTATGCTACAAATCAATTCACTCCTCTCTCCCATTTCTTCCTCTTCAAGCTAAACAGCTCAAATACTTTCCTGACTTAATCAAATCCTCCCACACATTCGATTGTAGTTGCCCTTGACTCACTCAGCTCTTCTCTTCCCTCCCCTATAATTCTCTCCTCCTCCGTCGCAGAAGCGTTTGTGCCTGTTCTTAACTGTGTGCTTCCTCTAGCACCTCTTCTTCCCATCCCATCGTTTCATCTCCTCCTGCTCATTTGTATCCCACTATTTTCTGCTTTTCTCCTGAGAAGGCTTGTTCTTTTCATCACCATGTCAGCATGCTTTAGATTTCCCATCATGAGTAAAAAAGCAACAACAGCCTTTTGTCTCTCCACTTATTCTTCCCCTCCTCTTTTGTATTCATCACTGAAATTCTAAAATGCAGTGCACAGGATTAGACTTAAGAGTTCTTGTCCTCAGATACATTTCCCCCTGCTGCCTTCCCATCTGTCTGGGCCTGCATATGTTTACTTTTATAGTTCTCCTTATTCAGAGACATAGAAACAAGTCAATCAAGTGTCTCTTCCCCTCTGCTGTATGATACTGTGATCACTGGGACTTAAAGACAGAAGGTGAACCTAAACTGTCTTTTAATATTCATGGTGCAGAGGTATCCTGTAGGCTATTTCAGGATTCCTATAATGATTCAGGCTGCTAACAAGCACTGGAGGAAAGGAAGGGTTTATCATTTTCTTTTCCCTTCTCCATATCAGGATTTTGAAAGAAAGAAAATGAGGACAGATATAACATCACAGAGAGTCATCAGAGTCCCATAAGACACTGTTATTAAAAATGGCAAAATCACAAATAGAGCTATGAGCACCTGATGAAGGAGGAAAAAAGATTAAGGGTTTGCTTCAGACAGACAGGTAAAAGAGAGTGTGTGTCATAGGATCCAGCTTCCACAGCTGGAGTAGATGTGTCTATTTTTAGAAAATAATTACATATGCACACAGAAGTGCACTCAGGACATGGTGAAGGTAGGATGTGGTATATGTTTCATCCCTCAGGATCAGGATATGTCAACCAGACTACACACAGAGACAGTAATCTGTCTCAACAAAAACAAACAAACCAAGTTCAGCATAATGTATTATTTTGAACCTCAGGTTTCATATCAGACCATAAAGATTTGTCACGTTATCTTTCAAACACTTACTCTAAATTTCTGTACTTATCCTTCTCTGGTAGTTTTATGGTTCAGTGAGCCATAAAATGAGCCTACTGGAGGCATTCTAGACCATAATCTAGATTCTCTTCTGTTATAAAATTCTTTTGCTTCCCCTGAGGCATAAATGTTTTATTTTTCATAAGGTCTTTCAATTAAGTGCTTCTAATCCATGTTGCAACAGTGTGAGTGAATACACAAAGCATAAGAACACAAACAAGAACTAAAAACCTTAAGCACTTTTAGTATAAGAACATTTAAATACCTCTCTGTTATGCCCAGAGCCCTGGGGGTAGGTAGGTCCTGTGCTGCATCTCCTGTAAATGTTGGTTACAGAAGCTTCTCCATTTCCACTTTCTTCTCTCACCTTTTGTCCAAATGGATAACTGTCTAAGAAAACAGGACTTGGAACATCCAGATTGTCAAAACCTATGTGAAACTCCAATTTTGTGCTGCCCCTTTCCACATTTGAAACTGAATTTACACTACTCCTTCCATGGAGCTCTCTCTCGTGGCTGTAGGCGTGGGGATCCACCACAGAAAAGTTTCTGCAGTCAGGTAGTAAGGAAGGTCTGAAGCCAACCATTGGTGCCACTGTGCCTCGCTGCCAGTGAGGGATTGGACTTCCAGGGTAAAGCTCTCCATGAGCAACCAGAGGATGATCGTAAAGATGCTGGTCAGGCACATTCTGACTGAAAAGGTTTGATGGGAGAAACATTTCTTCGTGATGATGTGGATGGGATGAACCATAAAAAAAAAATTCGTTGCTGACTTCATCAACTATTCGATCAAATCCCAGAGGGATGTCAACATCAGAGCCAGCATGGCACACTGGGTGAGGTGCTTGGTGCCCAGGCTGTCCTGCACAGAATTCACCGGGTGAGAAGGGCACCCTCCCAAAGTGTGCCATGGCTGATGGGTCCCTTCAGCTCCTCAGCAAAGTCTCATTATAGTTCCAGGTTCAGAGAGCAATGCTCACAAGTGGAGCTGCACGCCACTGAAACGAAGCACAGAATGGAGGTTAAACCCCAAAATAGCCAACATAATGAAAACACTACACTGCTGTGAGTTTTTTGTTGTTTTAGAGCTTTCTCCAGAGTGGACATATTTTCTTGATGTCGAGCTTGATTATTCTTTTGTCTGATTGTTATTTCCAGACATATTATTATTATTATTATTGTAATAATAACAACAAATTACTATTATTATTATCCTTGACTTGTAATTAATAGCAACAGGATGCCTGAAACAGCTGATCTAAATACTAAATACTAATTCTGACTAATATTAAAGAAAATCTCTTTTTTCCCATAGTTTCTACACTTGCATAGCACACAATGCAGGAAGGAAGAGCTTGTATTAATGGTTGTCAGTTTCATTCATATTTTCCTCATTTTTGTGCCTCCAGTTTCTTCATATTCTACCACTTCTCATCTTAGTGTAATCAGGTGAAGAAAGTTAAGTCAAAGAATATAGAAGACATGGACCTCCAATTAATATTCCCCAAAAGCTAGGCTATATAAAGGAAAAAAAAGCATATATATTTCAACCTTTTTTTTTTTCTTGTTTTACAGAAGAAATTTATTCTCAAAGCCTGAGGGTGGCCTTTTTTATCAAATTAACAGGCAAAGGCATGAGTTTCTGCATCTCCATCATTAATGTTTTTACTAGCAAACTTCCTGATCTGATTTTGGCACGTGCCAAGTACTCCTATGGCTCAGATGGGCAGCATGCACTGGAAACTGCTGTCAGCAGGCATGAGGATATATTTTTTAGGAAGGGAGTTTAGTTCTACAGCCAAAGTCTATTCTGGGCCATTTGCCCTAAAGGCCTTGGCCTGTTTCGTTTACTGATACAGATGTAGCCTAAAACCCACAAATGACACAGAACAGCAATACCACACACTGCACACAGTTGTGTATTTATCACCTAAAAGATATAGAGACATCTGACTTAATAATTCAATGCAAAAATGTATTCCCCAGCAGAAGAAAAAAAAAAGCTTTTGAGCTAAAAAGTGTGCTCAGAAATTGTTAAAGCTTAGCTCCACAAATAGATTTTCCATTAAGTCTCCAAGATACTGTATTAGTTTAGAAACAGCACCTTGCAATGAAAATCTGTGTTACAACAGAAGGTATTCATCCCAATTTTATTTATTTTTGTTTCATTTTAAGTCAAACTCTAGGTGACATAAGCTTCTGTCACCCACAGTGTGGAGCGAGAAATGAAATGAAAACTTAAACAGGCTGAAATAAAACCTGCAACCCAGAGGCTGAACTACTCTTTCAAACACTCCACCTAGTAATTAATGTGTTGCATGTTTTGGTTCGCTTTAACTGTGTTGGAAAAAACCCCACATTTATGAAATTACACTAGGCCAGATAACCAAAATGTTGCATACTACTTTGAATGGTGATCTAAAATACAATTACAGTTTTGCAGCTTTCTCTCAGAATGAATGCTAAGGTCACTATGTTTTTAAATAAAAATGACACCATTAAAAAAAAAAAAAAAAAGCATAACAACAAAAGTTTCTTGTATGAAATTGTCCTAATTTACAACTTTCTCTGTTTTTCATTTCTACAGCAGGTAAATAATGCAAAGAAATCAGGAAAGAAAATTATATAGCCATTAAATCAGGAAGTATGAGGTCTTTCACTCTTTTTTTAACCCATCTTGAAAAGTGGAACATTTCAGGAAGAAATGGAAGATAAAATCATGAAATCTGCCTCCAGTCCCATCTTCCTTAAAAAGCTTGGCTGTCTGGAAGACTACAAGGCATAGAAAATTCAGTACCTTTTACACCCTTTCAACAGTTCCTACAATATTTTCCTTGCATTACAAACAAATTCTGTTTATGATGGCACATAAATGCCC